TCCGGATCCAAAAATTTCTCTCTTACAGGATCGAATACTCCGACTTCCGCGAGGAATTGAGGCGTTAATTCTTTCGTAATTATTATCGAAACGTGTCTAGGTGATTCCTCATCTGTAATTCTTTTCAATGCGCTGTCATCATCCATTTTCATTTCTACAGTTTCGACTTCTTCATCCGAAAGTGTTTCCTTCTGCATTTCCATTATACTTGATTTTTTGTTTTCGCTCTCGGGAGATTTTTTCGTTACTGAAATTTGGCTGGAAACAATTTTCGCGGGCGGACTCGATTCTTTCTTAGCTGAATCGAATAATTTTGTCGTCACCGATGCACTTGGTTTTGTCTCTTTAGATTTGCGACTCGAAATTGCATCGACAACTGCTTTTCCAGCCAAAACTGGTGCAGCGACAACTGCCAGAAGACCCATTTTTGTAGCTTCCGCTATGCTGATCGGGCGATCCTTCTGATCTCGTACGGTATTCATTTTTCCAGTAATAGGATCGAGCAAACCTTTCTCGATTGCCTCTTTAGTGGTGATAGCTTCTTTGGTTTTCACGTTATAAAGTACGGAATCGGATTCAATTAGGCCCACTTTCATCGCTTCCGTCAAATTATAAGACTTCTTCGTCTCGGGATCTTTAAACGTCCCAGTTTCTTCGTCGTAAATTTGTTCGATCGCCTCTAACACAGTTAAATTAGTGGTAGACAATTTTCTGGGCGATTCAGATTCATCTTTGCTAGATGAAGTATCAAGAATTCCTTCCTCAACAGCTTTAGCGATAGGCATCGTGGTGCCGGTACAGGGATCGGTGTAAATACCCTCCTTCATATCGACAAGTCCTTTTTCTACCGCATGATCAAAGGACATCTTGATATCCTTTGTCGTGAATTCCTGTTTGCTTTCAGATTCATCCTTGATAATACCTCTTTGTCGAGCTTCTTCGATAGTGATGATATTACCGGTGTTGATATCTTGCACCTCCATCGCGCTTTTCAGCGCGTAGCCTGGCAATAGCTCAACGGTCTTAGTCGTGATACTGTGATACGATGTAATGGTTTCTGTAATGGCCGCTGTGTTTTCACGAGCCGGCGATTTGATAATAAGCAAACCAGACTCGACGGCTTCGACAATCGGAATCGGCGTTCCTGTGGTGGGATGGAAAAACACAGCGTTTTCTCTATCGATCAAGCCCGATTCCAAGGCCTTCGTTATCTCAATACTGTCAGGAGCCACCGGATATGGCAACGTCATAATAAAATCTCCCTTTATAGCGTCCTCCAGTGGCAGATGTTCCCCAGTAATCGGATGACGTACCTCTTTCTTGCTGGTGTCTATTAACCCACGTTTTAGCGCAACAGGGAACGTCATTCCCGCCGGCGGTATATCGGAAGACTCGGCCGGCTCCTTCAACTCGAACACATTATTCTCTATCGCCTTAACTAGATTTACGCTACCGTCTTGCGTCTTAACCAACGATCTCTCCGCGTCGATGGTGTCGTTCGCAATCGCAGATTGCAATGTTTCCGTACGGCCGTCGATGGTGAACATCACGTTGGACAAAGGATCCACTATCTCGCACACTATAGCTTCATTGAGGGTGAGATGCGCGCCCGTTTCTGGATGGACGATTTTACCTTCCAAAGGATCTAGCAAACCTTGAGTGTACAAGCTGTGCACGGATAAACTCTTCGCCAGTGGCATTAGTATATGTGCGCTTTCTGGATCCAAGATTCCGCGATCGATGGCCTGCTTGATGTTGAGCACGTCGCCTCTTTGTGGATCAACGATCTGTCCCTGATCGGCGTCTATTCGATTGTCGCGGATTGCCTCCGAAAGAGTGATCGATTCCCCTTTCTCGTTACACATTTTCCTCGCGAAGGTATCCGCTGTTTCTACATCAATGAGACCGCTCTGCAATGCCTCTTCGACCTTTACTATTCTCTTTCGCATTTTTTGCAGAACGATAGGCTTCGCTTCTCGCTCTGGACTCTGCGATAGCGTTCTCGCTTTGCCAATCGTAACTTGATATCTCGGCTCGACCGTCACTCGCGCTCTGGTCTTCGTCCCCAAACTCTCGCCATCCGGAACGTCAATTGCAGATTTCGACGAATCAACCAAAGTTAAACTTTTAACATCTCCCTTCGATATGCGAGTTTTGTCAGGTTCATCGTATACGATTTGTTTCACGATAATCTTTTCATTTTCATCAGGTGTACCACTCGCAGATTCAATAATCGGCGAAGTTACATCCTCCTTCGAGATGATACCACGTTCAATGGCGACTTCTCTTGGCACTTTTTTACCAGTTACTGGATCTTTGACCATCGTTCTTTGAACCGCTTCTATGGCAGCAGCGGTAGCCGCAAGGGGAGCACCAAGGACGGCTATTACTCCGAACTTTGCCGCATCGATCAGTGATATTTTTCTGCCATCGTCAATTCTATATTCGTGTGTATTAACATCGAGAATACCTCGATTGATAGCATCCGCCATGCCGATGTCTTTACCTGTCGTTGGATCCTTGATGATCACAGCGGTAGATGGTATCGTTCCTTCAGAAACGGCGGCTAAGAGATTTGCAGACTTGCCGGTTTTTGTGGAGATCACCAATGCCGTACCTGGATCATAAATCACTCCTTGAGTTACTTGTACCGGATCTGGCATAGAGATCTCTTCACTGGCGTTTATCTCCATTTGTTGGGAAGGATCGCCAACACGCGTCAACTCCACTTTGTCGGGCTTGCCCGAAACTCTTGTAATTTGAAGAAGCCTCTGATTCGTACTGTCACTGTCTATGCTAGGCCCGCCTTCCAATATGATCAATCCACTCGCAATCGCTTCTCTCATCGAGATTTTTTGTGGGAAACAGTAATGACCCGTGGAATCCAGAATATTCTTCTCCAAGCTTCGTACCAAGGACACTTTTCTCCCATTGTTAGGATCAATAACGAAGCCTGAGTTCGGATTAATAATCTGTAGCTTAATGCACTCTTCAAAGGAGACCAGTCTATCGGTGCCAGGAATTATGAAGAGACCTGTGGCAGAATCAAATAGCTTCCTATCAATAGCTTCGGCGAGTGTCCAGCCATCCGTGGGTAGTTCGAATACCCGTTTATCTGTGGAAATACGCTCGTTTTCTATGAATTTCATAATCTCTGATTTAACAATTGGTGTAGCAGCCGATGATGCAATTACCTCTGTATCTTGTTTTTCATCACGCGAAGTCGATTCATGACTTACATGCGTTTCTTCGAACGAACTCATTTTCGATGTTACCTCAGACATCCATTTAGTCGATTCGGTAACTTTGGAGGTCTCTTTGACCGTTGAATCATGCGTAGAAGGAACAGAAGGAACAGAATCAGTCGTAGTCGATGGTGCAACTGTAATCGTAACCGAAGATATCTCTTTCGTCGGCGTGGACGAAGCTCGTGGAGAAATTTCTTTAGTAATAATGGTAGTAACCGTGCCAATTGCTCTAGGTGGCGATTCGCTTCTTCTACTTCTAGGTACTTCACCGATACTTGTAGTTAAGGTGCTTTCGAAAGTTGTACGCAACGAGTCCGGAGGACTACGTTCTCGAGGATGCACAACGCGTTGAAGAACATCACCACCGAGCAAGCTTTGCTCAAAGGCATCTTCGATAGACATTGTTACTCCCGAATCAGGATCTCTAAATTCGTTTCTACTTTCGTCGATCAGGCCACCGTTCAACGCTTCTTCGTAACTGAGCTTGTAGTCCCTTGTAACAACCTCGCCAGTGTGCAGAGTCGTTTCGTATCTTCTGACGGTCTTCGTGACGGTCTGTGTGGTAACCGCGATATTCAGTAAACTAGTAAGCAGCGCGGCACCGTCGGGAGTGATGAGTCTTCGCTTGATCGCCTCCTCCAAAGGCACTATTCTCTTATTTCGTGGATCGAGCAATTGACCGGATCTCGGATCGAGCAGTCCGAGCAACACGGCTTCAAGAACGCTCACCTCACGCCCGTTCTCGGTGATGCCAATGCCGCGGTTCAGCATCTCCAGCACTTCCGGCCTGATGTAACCCTGTTCCTCCGCATCGCTCAGCGATAAGGTTTTCCCAGTTTTCAAGTCGATCGTGAAAGTACCGCCGGATTTCGAACTGATCAGGCCTTTCAGCAACGCTGCGTTGAGACTGATGTACTCGCCAGAAACCGGATCCTTGAAGCCATCAATATCAAAGATAGTTTTTTGGGTCACCGACGTGATCAGGCCTTTCTCGACGGCCTGAGGAATGGGAAACTCTTCGGCCTTCAACGTGTCGCGATACGTGCCCTCAATTTTAATTATCCCACTGGTCAAAGCATCGGCTAACGTAATCATTTCGCCGGTTCGAGTATCCACTATAGACTTGACGTTCTCCGAATCCAAAACGCCGCGAGATATCGCCTCGAGTATCGTTAATTTGCCACGATGCGCCGGACTGGCGATTTTGCCCTTGTCGTCAATGATTTCTAGATCACAGCAATCCTTAAGCGTCATCGGCTTGACGATCAACTGCCGGCGACGAGCCTCCTTAAACGGCAGCTTCTCCATCGACAAGCCGTGCATGTATCTGCCGCTCTTGGCGTTCAGTATGCCGCGCTTTACGGCCTCGGCCACCGTGACTTTATCGTCGTTCCTCGTGTCCACGATCTCTTTCACGTTCGGCTCGATAATACCCTTGTCGACGGCCTCGTCCAGCGGATAAGACTCGCCGGTGATCCTGTCGACGACGCGGCCGGTCCGGTCGTCCACGAGACCCTGCGATATCGCGTCGGACAACGCGACGGCGTTTCGGGTCACCCGAACGGTCACGTCCACCTTGGTGAGGTAACCGCGCGAGTACGCCTCCTCGATCGAGATCCGCTCGCCGTTGTCGGCGACGACCTCGCCCGTGGCCGGGTCCAACAAGCCCTCTCTCATCGCATCGACAACGCTAAATCCCACGGCGGCGGCGTTACTCCCGCCACCGTCGTCGCGACGTGCTGCTGTCGTTACCTTAACTCGGTCCGCGATGTCGGCCCGCTCGGCGTCGCAGAGCTCCCGCTGGATCGCCTCGAGCAAGGACACCCGACGGCCCTCCTCGTCCCACCCCGCCACTGGACCTAACAGTCGGTCGGCCAGCCGCCGCGTCGATGATACCGTCGCGCGCGGCCTCCTTCGATCGACACGCTCGTCCTGCCGTCGCTCGACGTCGCTATCCTACCGTTCCTAACTCGGGGAATCCTAAGCCGGATCGCCTGCCCACAGTCAGGATCTCGCCGGTGCTCGGATCTACGATACCCCTAACGTCCGATCACGTTCTCCGCCCCGATAACGCCCCGGTCGTCGGCCCGCGGTACCCTCCTAAGATCCCTAAGCTCGCTCTAAACCCGCCGTCCACGACGGACGAGAACTCGTGCTGCTGCTGCTGCTGCTGCTGCTGCTGCTGCTGTTGCTGCTGCTGATGTCGCCTGCTGGAGCTCGTCGCGCCGCTCTCGTGTGAGCGCTTGAGCAGGCCACCACCGACGGGTGAGACGGTCCCCGGGCTGATGGTCTCGCCATTAGGACGATACGCGGCCTGCTCCGCGCTGTAATTTCGCTTCGTCTCGCTCGAGAAAGTCGTCTCGGTGGACTCATGCCTCTCGGAAGTGTATCTGCGGCAAGAGCCATCGAGGAAGCGTGAACATCACGGGCCAAAAGACGCTTCGCGAAGAAAAATCTTAAATTCACTTCTCAAATATGGATCTAAGATGAGGGCGTAAGCTTCTGTTGCGGCGTAGCGGATGAGGATGATGCTGTGATGCGATTAAGTGATACTTCCAAATTTTAACGCAATTTATACTCACTGCGACTGGGTATAGTGTGTGGTTGTGGATGTGTAACGCTCCTCGCTAGTAGTGCTTTCGTAAATGTTGAACTCCGTGCGGAACGTCCGCAGCGGCTTTTGTTCTTGAAGAACACGCTGAAAGTAAACATTTTGCGACTTGCATTGAAAACATGTCTGGTTATAAACTTTACATATACCTGCTACATATTTTTTTTTTCCTGTATCGAATACGAGAGATTCCAAATTCTCAATTTTTCTCCAATGAGGATACGATAAAGAGTAACGAATAATCATCGACAAAAAAATTCTCTTCAATCAAATTTAAATTTGAGTTTTATTTATTTATTTTTCTCAGTAATTAAATTGCGGCTGATGTAAAGGTGAGACGGTATCCTTCTAACACTGACACTGGGTACATCTGGGTCAACCTGTCGATCTGTTGATTCTCAAAGCCGATTAACGACTACGTCATCCGCACTGTAATCGTTCACGGACTTCTCGCATGCATCTAAATGAGTCAGCCCGCGCGGCGGTGCATAAGTTTACATACGACGAAATCAGCGTATAATTGGACCACGTGCCGAGATCTTTCGACTCGAGACGGAGATTCTTAAATATAGCACCGTTCACCACGCACGCGCCGGACGCATTCGCTCTTACGCAAAATTTTATCCGGCGCGACGCACGCCTTGCCTTTAATTACCTAATTCCGAACGAGAGTCATCCGCATATCAAATCGCGTAATTTCGGATTCGTGATACACAACACCGACCTTGCTTCGCGAATAGGTATTGGTGGGGTCTACGTCACCTGCTTATGTCATCGCAAACGTGAGAACGGATGCTGTCTTTTCCATTGTCAACTTGTAAATCCAAGAAGACATGGGAGAACACGTGCGGTCTGACGCGAAACGAGAAACCCGAAAGCCTTGAAATCTGAACATCAAAACATGATTTAATTAAGAGAAAAATGAGATTATGCAAAATTCATTTATACATATATAAATTTTAATACGGAATAATAATCAAGCGGCCACGTTTTAATGTATTAAACACAGGACGCAAATATTCGTAAATACGTTTGACACAAATCGCCGGACCAATTTTAAAGCCTTGAAAGAATTTTAGGCCGCGGATAAATTGAGGAAAGTTATATTAATGTCAAAAATTGCTCAAATAAAAAACGGCACAATTTACAGCACACAATTTGTGTCTCTTACATTCACCAGTGAAATCTCTTTGATGACGCTGACAGCATTAATTTATATTACATGTGTGTGAAATCAAGAAAAATAAAATTAATAAAGAGCAGAAGAAATATCAATAACACCCGTGACTGATTTACCTGCGTCGTAAGTCTACCGATCGAAAAAATTATATCTGATTAATGCGATTGCTGACCTTCGGGCATTCGATCGTCGACTGTCGAACGGTTACATCGATAAAAAAAATTAATCTACTCCGCTTTCGTTGATGCACATTCAAAACGCAAATCGGGAAGTCGTTCAACTTGACTGGACGGTATACACGCGATATATTTCGGGCGTTATGTCTCGTTGTCAGACAATTTCGTCGCCGTTTCAATCGTCACGATGCACGCCTTGTGCCTTTCACACGCAACACGTAAATATAGATCCATTTAAGCACCGGTTTATGACGTCGCGATAAACAGTAATCAAATAAAGGACGACGGTCATTTTATCTTCAGAACGTCAATATAATCTCCGAGCTCTAGGCAGTCAAAGAGATTAAAATATTTCGACGAGTTATCGAGAGGAAGATTCGCGACGTTTTTAAAATATACATAAATAAATGCCATACAATTTGGGGGGGAAAAAAAAAAAAACATCGCACACTCTGTCCTCTCAAATGTATCAGCCAGTATTTTCTGGGTCAGTCCGTGCGTTAAATTAAGAATCCGCTATTATCCGCACGCTGATGCAGCGAGTTTAAAGACACGAGCTATCCCGAGAAGAATGACAATATAGCTGGTAGTTCAACGCGTATCCGTAGTTCTTGTGATTCGCGTAACGATGTCCCTGAGTATTGATTCTCCCGAGCGAAATCACTTATCGATAAGAAGTGGACGGCGGGATGGTTTTGATTACCTTGCCGGTAATCAATCGTGTCGCACAGCGGTGAACGTTGATAAGAGTGTAATCAGGAACAAGCCTGAGTCTGAGACACAGCGAAAGATTTGGTGAACATTCATATTTTGAAGAAATTAATATAAAGGTTTACCTCAAGTTTTTCCGTTCTTACTTAATTTCGCTATAAAAAACGAAGCATGCTCGGCGACATTCAGTTTTTTAATATATGCCGTAAACATAAAAAAAATTAACAACTTCGATAGTTTATTACATTAATATGAGCATACGTGCGCATATATTTGCATTTCGCGATAAAATCTAAACGCGAATATAGACGTCGGTGAATAAAGTTCATGAATGTGACCGTGTCAGCAATAAAGTAGTAGATATTCAGTAAGACAGACCGTGAAATATTCATTTATTCGAATTCAGGCAAAAATACACAGGCGTTTTGCAAGTGATCTTTCAACTATCTTTGACGGAAATAGGATCGCAAAAGGTATCACCTGATGTACTCAAAGAAAAGGATGACTCATAACACTTAGTTGTTCAAAAGTTATTCATTAGTTTTTCAAAAGCAATCTCATTCTTGATATAGGAATACATTTGCCGAGTTTCATAAAATTATAGTTCAAAATTTGGAGAAACAACGTTCTTCTCTCGTCATAAAAATCGTATTTATAAAAAGACAAGATTAAGCAAAGAATAACTTCGAACGTGTCAAGTTTTGGATAAATATTAGGATTACAGAGAATCAATTGATTATTTTTTTTTTTTAATTCTTTCAATGATCACAGAAAATGAAAAATACTTTAAAATCACGACTCATTTTGGCATATGTTAACAAACAATTTCGAAACCGCCACGTTTCAACAATTGCAAAAGTTTTATACATATAAAATAATATTCAAACAACAAAAGAAAAAACAAGGAAACTCAAGATATTTATTTCCTATGGCCCCCTCATCTCGTCAAAATCAACCGACAGTTTTCGCTGCAAACATATGACTCGACTGACACTTCACGGATGTCATTCGAAGAGCGGCACATCTCTCTCCCGAGTAAAGAAACTACTTCCTAATAAACCCCTCGCCGATTTGTCACCCGTTTTGGACACGTCCGAAACCGCCGGTCTCCGATTTCACGGATAGATCCCCCTCCGGATACCGGCATTTTCGGAGCACGCGACGCCCTTCGCAGCCCTTCGCGGCGTCCCCTCGTTACCTTTCGCACGATCATCATGATCACTCATCGGGACACGTCGAAATGGCGAAATGTCCCTCGCGAAATTGCTATCGCACTCACGACGGACGGCGACGACGTGTCTATTCGACCGGCGAGCGTGCTCGACGTGCGGACGGCCATCCGCACAACCGACAGTCCCTCACTGCGGCGGCTCGTCTCTCTTTCCTCCGATGACGCCGGCTCTCGCGAGAGAGACGCGAGTGGCGGCGCCGACGCACCGCCGGTCCAGTGGCGCGTTTAAGCGTGGGTGCCTTTAACTGGCGGTTCGTTCAGAAACCGCTGCTCTCAGAACTCCGGGACTCTTTTTCGGGCGTATAAACAAAAATCGACCTTGCGCGATTCAACGAGCGCTGTATTCCGAATTAAGGAAGATTACGTAACTTCGAAGACTGCGTCACTTGTGTTTCACTTTCGAGGGCGAAACGTGCCATATTTCGCATTTTCGGCAATTGTTGCCGCCGACGCGAGTCGACCGTGACTCGTTTAATGTTTCTGGTCACACACGGCTGCTCTCTTGAATATATCGCGACAGTGAACGATGCCTTGAGAATGAAGAGTGTTACCGAAGGTCTCGTCTCTCGATTAATTTTATCTGACGCTCGCGTCGCAACGGAAATGTAGAATTTATTTTCAAAATGCCTCGCATACATTACCGACCTCTTCGTTCTTTCGAAAATTCAAATTGAAGGATTTTAATTAACAAAATTACAGAGACATTCATCAAAAAAATAAAGCGGCGAGAAAATAAGAAGAGCCAAAGCAAAATTAAGCTGCGTTCTTTTAAGAATCACGGCGAAATTAATTAAAAATAAACATTAAATACTTATAATGGAATTAAATATGCGCGACTCAGTAGGCGTGTAGTCGTTCTCATTTTTCAGCTTGAATTAATTATCCGACACCCCGGGGGCCTCAACAGGTGTAAACGCGCCACTGCTTTTTCGTTTCGTCTTCGTGCGGTTCTATCGATCCCGGCGTGAGACCGGCACGACGAGCGGGAAAGACGAAAAGCTGTCGTTAATCAGAGGTGAAAGTCGGTCGCGTGTCAAAGGGGTTGTTCGGAAACGAAGAGCAGCCTCGAGATATCGGCGTGACAGGCGCGAAGCGATAAGGCGCGATCTCATCCGACGGTCGAGCGCACGCGAAATGTTCTCGCAAATTTAAAAAAAAAAAAAAAAAAAAAGAAGAGAGAGAGAAGAAAA